ACTACAACTACTACGATCGCCTTCGCGAGAACGCTAAACGGTTCTTAACCGACGTCAATGAGGACGGACCGCTCAAGGAACTGCTAAACAATCGCACAGTCGACGAAGTGGTCATTTCCATTATCTCACCTGATTGAGCTGAGTGAGAAGGAGCAGCTATCTCACTGCTTCTGCTCGGCACTGGTCGACTGTGCTCCCCGCTCTGGCGAGAGGACTGCCGCCGTCAGCTGCCGTTGTGGTCGATTGGTGCCGGCAAAGGCACTCACTCTCGTGCTTGGTGCCCGCTCCAGCCGCTGACTCAAGACTGCCAAACACAGCGAGANTGTGGTCGATTGGTGCCGGCAAAGGCACTCACTCTCGTGCTTGGTGCCCGCTCCAGCCGCTGACTCAAGACTGCCAAACACAGCGAGAGATGTATAAAATGGCGTCGGATGCTCTCGATCCTCATCAAAACAGTGATTCGCCATTAGCCTCAGGTTCCCAGTTCACCTCTGCACAGCCACCCTCCAGCTCGGCCTCTGTGAACATGTCTGACAACACCGCCGACAGCAGTATTTCTCGCCACCCCGCTGACATATCAATCTTACGACGGACTCAAAATGACTACGAAGAGTGGACGTCGGTCTTCTATACCACCTTTATCAACGATACACGCTTCGAGATTCTTAAACGCTACGATCGACTGAGAATGATCGGCTCCGGCGCCCAGGGTGTAGTTTGGTAAGTGTCGATGTTTTTTCAAAATGGTTTTCCTTTCATCATTCTGAACTGTTATTCTCTGCTTTCAGTGCCTCATACGACAGACTACTAGAACGTGATGTTGCCATCAAGAAGCTTTCAAGACCATTCCAAAATGTGACACATGCCAAGCGAGCATTTCGCGAGTTTAAAATAATGCAAATAGTGAACCACAAAAACATTATCGGCTTGCTAGATGCTTTCACTCCGCAAAAGACACTTGAAGAGTTCCAAGACGTGTAAGTAGAACTGCTTGTGCAATGATTGAAGCAGGACAATTAACCATAATGTTTATTTACTCTAGCTATTTGGTTATGGAACTGATGGACGCCAACTTATGCCAAGTTATTCAAATGGATATCGACCACGAACGCATGTCATATCTTCTGTACCAACTTCTTTGTGGAATTAAGCACCTCCATTCGGCTGGAATCATTCACAGGGTATTGTTTTAACTGAGTAAAAACCCGACACCTTCCCATGACACAGTTTGCTTTCTCAGGATTTGAAGCCATCAAATATTGTCGTCAAGAGCGATTGCTCACTAAAGATTCTTGATTTTGGCCTGGCACGGCCTTCCGGAGCTGCACTCATGATGACTCCGTACGTAGTAACGCGATACTACCGTGCTCCTGAAGTCATTCTTNCCTCCATTCGGCTGGAATCATTCACAGGGTATTGTTTTAACTGAGTAAAACCCGACACCTTCCCATGACACTGTTTGCTTTCTCAGGATTTGAAGCCATCAAATATTGTCGTCAAGAGCGATTGCTCACTGAAGATTCTTGATTTTGGCCTGGCACGGCCTTCCGGAGCTGCACTCATGATGACTCCATACGTAGTAACGCGATACTACCGTGCTCCTGAAGTCATTCTCGGCATGGGCTATCAGGAAAATGTCGACATATGGTCGGTGGGCTGCATCATGGGAGAAATTATTCGAGGTAAAAGATGCGAAGAAACTAGTCAGAGTAATTTTAGATATTGCCCAACGTTACAACTGCAAACACACAATCTAACCATTCACTCTATCCAACTTTAGGCCGAGTTCTTTTTCCAGGCAACGACCACATCGATCAGTGGAACCGAATCGTTGAACAGCTGGGCACACCTACGCAAGAGTTTATGACACGTCTTCAGTCGACAGTGCGCAACTATGTGGAAAACCGGCCTCGCCACGCAGGATACTCATTTGAAATTCTCTTTCCTGACGTTCTGTTTCCAAACGTCTCATCAGTTCAGATGGACCTAAATGCTGGCCAGGCTCGTGATCTTTTATCCAAAATGCTTGTGATTGATCCAGAGAGGCGCATTTCCGTAGAGGGCGCACTGAATCATCCGTATATTCGTTTGTGGCGTGAAGAGTCAGAAGTCAATGCGCCCGCACCAAATTCGTACGATGAATCTTTTGAGCAGCAAGATCGAACCGTCGATCAGTGGAAGGGTAAGTTTATCAACGTATCTACTTGAACAGGATCTCATAGACATCTCTTTCTATCAATATGTGTAGATTTAATTTACAGTGAAGTCAAAAACTACGAGACAATTAATAGGAATCAACTAGATGCTCTCATCAGGACGATTCGAGACGAAAGCACCGAATAACTCAAAGTACAAAGTATGATGCACCGTTTAAGCGTCCTCTTGCATTCAGTTGTAATGCAATTGCCACAAATCTACAAGTCATTTTCTGTTCTTGT